TAAAAAACAATTTAACGACAAAATCAAAAACAGTTTTAATGCACAAAGTAAGCTAAACGGCAAATTATGCAACAAAAAAATTAATTGTTTTTATTATTTTTAAACCGCTTTCCAAGTCTAAATAAGGACTGTCCAAGTTTTCCGTTTTACACACTTAGAAAAAAGCATTTCGTTAAATCAAGAAAGCAGTATCTTTATTTTCGAGTTACTGTTTTTCCTTAATATAACGAAAAAGTTACTCAATTTCAGAAATTTTTCCTCAATTTAAAAATAGGGCGTCATTTATTTGAAGAAGTAAATTTACTCAATATAAGTAATAATTTCCTCAATATGGGCAAAGCTAAAAAACAGGCAACCTTTGTGTAATTTAGCTTTACTTTCACTGTTGTAAACTAAATCAAGCTGGTTGCTTTTGGATAAAAGTCATTGACGTATACTTGAAGGCTCAAAAAAAATTTGGATAACTTTTGAATTATAGGTGTTTATATTAAAAAAAAAAATAATGGAAACTAGTGAGTTTTTTATGTAATTTTTAAGGGGGGCACAATTAATTATGTCATAACTTTTGAAGCGCACCATATTCTGATTTGAAATTAAATGGGCATTTAGCACTTATGTGTACACTTCATATGTAGTAGGTAAGAAAAGTGTGCATTAAAAAATAACGAAACGGCACGTAACTCAAAGTCTGTAACTCCACATTTCACAAGTTCCAAAATTTTCGGTGTATCGCGTATAGGTTTTGAAGCATTTAATTTTAACAACTTTTTAAGTATGTATTGTATTCTACAAACAATTCCCACCCGACCAACGTACACGAGAATGCATCCGTTTTAGATATTTTAGCAACGTTTTCACTTAAAAAAATATTGAGAACGGGTTCCGAAAAAGTATCGTAAAAGTATTACCTGTCGCTCAGATTGTGGAAGCAGAACTCTCGTTCTTGACATCCGTTTTCAAAAGGTTTTTCGAAGTGTTTTCGATAGTGGAAACGTATCTCAGGAGGAAGTTATTTCGATCCGTTTTACTATCGAGAAATTAATGAAAACGGCAATGTTTTCGATCCGTTCGATTATCGAGAAAGTACGAAAGCGTTAGTTGGTTGTTTCGATTTACCAAGCGAGAATGCATCGAGAGAGGAATCGTAAACAAACATTAAAATGACTAGTTTACGATAATTACAGCTATTCCATTCCAGTTTATTCTCATATTTAACATAATAAAAGATTACAGTAGTTCACTTTTCTCGTGTTTTAAAACAAAAATTAAAAATATAAAATTTAGATGTGATTTAGGTAAATGTTATAGTAATTAAAATAATAAATGTTCATTAGTTAAGAATTTTAATATAAAAATATGCAATTAAAACTTATTATTAACTGACTTCAAAAAGGAGGAAGTTTATCAATTCTGCGGAATATTTTATTTTATTTTAAGTACATATAACCGGGTAACTTTGGACCACGTGAACCGTTTCCGATTATTCTTTTTTTTAAAGGAATTATTCTTTTTATCAAGGGTGGTCCCATACTAATCATCGTGTCATGAGTAAATTTACGGTAATCCTAAATTTTTGTATGAGCATTGAAGTCGCTGGTATTTTTTGCATAAAAATTAGTTGTTGAATATCACTTTCCATTCTCTGTTTTCTTGATATTCATAGATTTTGCAAACTCCGTTCTGATCCTACGGGATTTTTGAATGGTGCTATTCGATAAGGATAGTTATTTTTTAGTTTAATATATTTATCCTGCAAAGGAGTTTCAATACTTACTCCGAATTATTACATGGTTTCTTAAATTATTCAACTTGATTAATTGTTTAGTGTTTAGTGTTTATGCTCAAATTACTTTTTTACTTACTTTTAATGTTTTGAAATATTCTTACAAAATTTTCATTAAAGCGATGCCTCCTTCTATATATTTTGTTCGAGAAAGGTTTATTTTGGAAGAAATGTGTTTTCAATTTGAAATTAAATTTGTTTGAATGATTGTAAGAAATGTACGTTTACATACCTTTAGCTGTAGCTGAGTTTGCAGAGGTGCTCGGTGTTATTTCTTAGATTCCAGACGGTCCCAAGATGTTGAAATGTTAACACAACTTTTAGTTTTGTATTACCAAGCTATGAAAAAGCATCTGCGAAGCGTATTTGAACGAAAAAGCCGCCGAACACATATCTAAGTAAAGTAAACAAGCCCCCCGCTGCATCCCATATTCGATAGTTCCGAACTAGTTCTAAATTCAACAAATAGGATCTAGTTCATTCTGCATCCCTTTTTCTATAGTTCCGAACCATTTCTAAATTCGGATTTCTAGAGAAAAAAACTGAAAAAAATAGTTTCTTAAAAGTACCACTTTCCGCCGATTTTGGACTGGTGGGGATCTAGTTCCTATCGGACTAGTTCCTTTTTGGCGATAAAGACCTAGTACGGAACTAGAAATTTGATTCACTAGTCCACGGTTTCCCTGCAGGGAACTTTTCTTTGCGTGTGTAACTCAAATCGATTGTCGACCACCATGCTTATTCATGCCGAATTTTAAGCGATGGTGGCTGGTTCCCGATTTGTACTTACATATGTATCTGTTGAATTATTGAACAATGCTTAATGTTATAAGCCCTATGGTTGCGTCTAATTTAAATATATGTATATGTTTTTGCAAAGCCGCCTAAATCGCCGTTGTGGAAAAAATGAGATTGTAACCCTGAAATCCAGGCTTCGAGATTTATGCATAAAAATCATAAAATCGTTATTAAAGCAACATATTTGTAACATAATATCTAGAGAAAATACTGCCTATCAAGGCAATGCCTTGAAAGAACACCCGTTTTTTCGCTCCCCTATAAAATTTGAGTGCCGTATAATAGGCGGTTTTGCAAAAACATCGACAATATAATATATGTCTTTATATCAAATTTTTTTGTGATTCCTGCCTTGCTAAAATGATAAGTATTAGTAAAAACAAGGTTTATTGCGTTTAAAAAGAGAAATATAAAAACCTACAATATTGAACCTACAAATGATGTAGAAAAAGCTGTGAAAGCCGGTTTTAGGCACACTTTTATAAAATTTAAGACTGTTTCAAGACCACCGTGCGCCAAAGACAAATCTGATGGCATACAAATTGATTTAACTAATAATAATAATAATAGACAGTTTTACGCCGACTCCGAACGGCGATTGTATTTTAATGAGAAGCTGTTTTTCATGGAAGAAATACACTCGGAGGTTTGCCATTGCCTGCCGTAAGGCGACCGCTGTTAAGAAAAAACGTTTTTTCTAAATTTTTTTGCGATGTTGGTTTGACCAGGGCTTGAACCCAGACGCTGCGGATTGGAAGCGCGCACTGCTTACCACTACACCACAGCGGCCGTCAAATTGATTTAACTAATGCCCCTAAAAATGTGCCCCGAAAACTTGGTTTAAAGCGTTAGAGATTTAGGGGAAGCAGTTAAATCAATTGGTACGCGTTGAAATGTGCCATTGGCGTGGGAACAGGGTGGTAACGCTCATTTGTCCAAACTTTAGCACATAGTTTAAACATAGTGAGCGGGATATGTGGAAAGTTTTTCCAAAAGCGATCGGATCTTCTAAAAACGACCGCTTTCACTGATGTGTGAATAAAGCTCACCTATCGATTCTGGAACTCCTAAAATAACCAGCGACTTTTTCAAACGGATTCTTTCCTCCTCTAGAGTGCTTATTTCGTCTACCAAATTTTTTACAGCTGTCTCGAGCGTAGTCTTCCATTTACCTACAAGTTGAGCACGCTGTGTTAGGTTTTTTGTCGTTTCCGCCTGTGTCTTCTGGACCTTTTCAGTGATTCCCTTGAAAGCTATTTTCGAACTGTACTGATTTCTGCCAAATTATAAGTAAAGATAACAGCTAAATAAAATATTTATGCGGAAATTCTTAAAAAATGCAGTACTTAATAGCTTTATCAAAAGTGTCATTAGTTTTCTGCATAGTTTCTTTGTTTTTTGCTCGCCATTCATTCTGACTGAAACGCGTTATTGAGTAGCGGTCCACAATTGGACGTGTTCCTGTTAAGCCAGCCAGTGGGTTCCAATCTACTTTTCCTGTTGCCCATGGGCCTATGGGTCCCATTGGTTTGAGCACATCTTTGGAGAGAAGCTCATCGCCTGGCCGTGGTAGATAGCACGGTGAATTACCAAAGTCGTCGGTTGTAGGATTAATCGTTAGCTAATATAATATGAAATTGTGAAAATATTAGAACATTCCAGCATTTTTATTCCAATTACGGCAATCTCAAAATCCTTATTATCAGCCGGCTGCATAGTTGAATCTAACTTTACACACCCATCCTTTAAAGCTAGTTCCTACAAGATGCAATATGTTAATAAATTCGTCGTCGATTTCTGGCATATTTAACACACCTTTTTCTCCTTTTCCAAAGCATGCATATCGCAGGTATCACCTTCCATTTTAAATAACAAAATAAATTTCTACCCACAATGCAATATAATATGTATGTATGTACTATGTAATAGAAATTTTACAAAACGCGAATTAAATTTTATTTTCACTTTCGAATCAATTTTTTCCCGATTACTATTTAGACAGGATAAACAACGCGGTTACTAAGGTAATTTTTCTGACTTTGCGTGACTTAATAACAAAGTTTGCCAGATTGATTTTTCACCCTGAGATTCAGAGGCTTCCTATCGAATCTCGGGGCCAGAGCATATATGTTACCATGACACAAAAAAGAAGGTAGTTTCATTCATGATACAAAATAGAAGGTAGTTTCAATACACAACTTTTGACGGATAATACAATTTTTTGAAGTTTCATAAATTGTGAGTATTATCAGCGGCCTTGCCACTTTGATAATATTAAAACAATAAATCGGAGTATTTTCTTTCCCATATTTATACCAATGTAATAACATTTCAAATCAAAACCCATTAATGGTAATTATCAGTGTTTGGAACTTTTTTTAATTACGTGGTTCGCACCTTTTTTTATTAAAAATATTTAAAATGTAAACTGTTAAAGGAGACTTCATCGTAATTGTTCTTTTCATTTTGTAATAAAAACCACGCGCGCATTATTCTGTTATTTTTTTGTTTTCTTATTTTGAATGCAATCTTGCGATTCGAATCTAATACTATATCTCCATTGTGAGATTTAATGAAGATTTAGCCCTCTGACGAGATTTGACGTTAAATCTTTTGAGATTTACCATATAAAATTAAATCTCGAAAGGCAGTAGATTTAAGTTAACTCTTCGTCAAATCTTCAATAATATTGATCAAAAAGTACAATTTGTTGGATGTGGCAACCACAAATTCACATGCTATAAGTCAAATGACATTTGTGTTTTCAATATACAGTTGAGGACATTGAAATCTAGCCTATCATAAAAACATGAATTTTCGTATTTCTAGGGATTTTTATATTTTTGTTAGTTTGGGAGGAAAATTATTAATACATATTTACATAACTTTGGTTGTAATAAATTAAGAAAATATTATTTTAAAAACTAAAAATTTAGAAGAAATGTTTTATAGTAATATCTCCGCTTTCTATAAGTCATTTACGCGCTGCGACAAAAAATTTATAAATTTCGGTAATGGTTCTGGCGCACGATTGGATTTTCGGTTCCCTCCTATGAATAAGAGAGTTCTACAAAATTTTTTCTTTCCGCAAATGTTTTTTACCGTTTTGATAATTTTTCTTAAATTCGGGAAAATGATTCGGAATATAGTACTATCTTTACACTTTCCAAACTCTATATTATACATACATATTTACCACGAGTAAGAAACCAATAATATTCAGAACTCATATAATAAAATTCCGCTTGGTACCTTCCTTTTATCTATCTGTATATCAATCTCTTTATAAAATCATACATAAGCAGACGTCAAATATTTAAAAATGTGAACGTGAAACATACCTCGTTGTGGTAATGGAGACGGTTGTGATTTAGCAACAGGATTTATTAAATCTTAATGGATAAATCTCTCAATGGAGACATAGTATAAAGGATGTTCTTCCCAAATAAAACCTTTTCATATATTTGTCAATGTTATTGTGGCTTGTTAACATTTTTTTATTTTTAATATTTTTATTGAGCTTTGTACCACGATTGTTTATTATTATTATTGTATATTAGAAGTTATAGCAATATTTCGGAGATCACCACATCTCCTCATCAGACTTCTTTTTTTTTCTAGACTTCAGCAGGGATCGAACCTGCGTATTCGATGTTCAAAGTCAGAAGCGTTAACCACTGAGCTATGTACATCCCGTAAACTCTTGTTGCTAAGTCTAGAAAACAAAAAGAAGTCTGATGAGGAGATGTGGTGATCTCCGAAATAGTGCTATAACTTCTACCGCCTAGACTTTGTTGCTTTTTCAATTTTTCCTAATAAACAATCGTGGTACTAAGCTCAATAAAAATATTAAAAATAAAAAAACCTTTTTATATCTCGGTTCAAATTTACATTTAAATTTCTCATAAGCATCATCATTAAATTTCACGAACTCTTAATTAATGCAAAATACCTGAAGTCGGCTTGAAGAGATCGCCCTCCGATAAACAACTAACAGATCCTCGTTTAAAGTACAAAACCGTGTATCAACAAAATGCACAACTGCGTATGTGAG